ACTGCAGACACCAGGTCAGAAGTCTCGCAAACAACTGTAACGCAGGATACCGTATTCACCGGCCCAACCTCCTCGAGCCTGTCGCGGAAGAGCACAAAGACAGGATTGAAAAGAAGACTTACCAAGCATTCTGATCTCCTCTCTGTGTTATCATTACCAGATACTCCTCCGCAGGTGGAGAGGTCAAAAAGTGTGAGGTCCGCAAGAAGTATCCGAACCACCAGGCGACACCTTGAAAGCGCTAGTGTTCAAGATCTTATGCAAGAATTGGCTGAAGACGAGACAAAGTACATGCGAGAACTGAACACACTTGTTGATGGTGTGATTCCTGTTTTGCTTACGTCTGTCCTTTCGAAAAGCGACTCCGCGGTTGCAGCTGGTCTTCTGGACCCGGACTCGGCAACAAACTCGTCTTTCACCAAACCCATTGTTGATATGGGTGTTGCTCTTGAACGCTTGCGATCAATCCACAAACGAATTCCGCTTGACGACTCAGACACTTTCTTCCGCTGGCTTCAATCTGCACAAAAGGTCTATGAGGAGTATCTACTTGCTTGGCGCGCTGGCTTTGAGGGTGTGGTGGTCAACCTGGCTCCTTCACATCCCCACGATACATCAAACAAGATGCCTAGAAACAAGAATGGGGATGTCATCAATGACAATGGCGAGGTGGTAGATGTGGCGTACTTGCTCAAGAGACCTTTGGTCAGAGTCAAGTACCTTTCAAGGGTGATCAAGGTCAGATTCTCGTTCATTATTTACTTGGGATCAAAGCTAATCAAATACAGGGGCTCTGCATGGCGAAGAAATCCGATCTCTTGAGCGATATGTCAGAACAGATGCAAAAGCTCGAAGATCTTGCCAGACGACGTGCAAAGGAGGAGGCTGCTCGCCGTGAAGATCGGCGCGCCTATACTACAGATTCGACTCGAGTCCGATGTCTCAGGACGCTTGTACAAATAGACGGCATTAAAATCGACCGAAACCTGCAGGTTGCTGCCAAGGATACCTTCTCCTTAGAGTTGCCTCACTCGAGTGGCCAGAACATTGAATGTCAAGTGGATATGTTTCTCCGAGACAATCCTGAAAATCGAAAGGACGCAGACATCCTCATTGTCGAGGTTGGTGTCGATGGACGGTTCCTGCTCTTTCCATCACTTGACAAGAATCATGTCTCAGCTCGTATGGGTGACAATGACCACCAGCTTGTCGTCCAGTTCCGAGGGGTTACGAACGTCGGAACACGAGTGGAGACGTGGAATGAGTCCTTCATTCTCGAAACAGAAGATCCAGAAGCTGCTCAAGACTGGCTCGATATGCTGGGCACTGTTCCTGTTCCGCCTCCGATTGTTCGCAAGGAGCTGCTGCTAGATTCTAAGCTTGCATCGGAGATCTCTTCCGTCAACACACTGAACCAGACAGAGGACATTCCCATTGGTGAGCGTCGACGAACAGAAGACAAGTTACTGGTGAAGAAACGCCAACGAGTAGAGAAGAAGAGACCTACTACTTTGTTCGAATGTCTTGAAGAATACCCATATCACAGCGAGCTGGGAGAAATGTGCATATTAGATGTGAAGGGTCTCAATCAAGCTCGAGAATTGGCTGGTCTTCTGCCTCTTACGCTACAACAGAAACGGCCAACCCCTGCGCGATACGCCAGTGCAAAGATTCCAGTTGTCATGTCAGGTGCCATTGGAATAGAGGATGACAAGGAGGTCTCAGTTGGTAGCAAGCAGGGAGATGATAGAGCTGTAGAGGATTCTCCCGCAAGCTCTCCTCTTGCCTCCGAGAAGAGTAGCACCCCCTTGAGAGATTCGATGCGGCCGGATCCCGAAACTCTGAAGAGACAAGCATCACCACCAATTCGCCACGACGGTGCTCCTATACCTCCAGCCCACAGAAGCCCAAGCCCGTCAACTCCAAATCCTCTGAAGATGACGCCAATCCTCGACAGCCCAACACCAAAGGCCAGGACTCGCCGAACTTCGTCTCCGCTCAAGCATGAATGGCAACCAGACAATGCGTCTCTTACTTCGCCATCCGAACGTAGCGATTCTGATTCTGACTCTGACACATACTCCTCTTCGTCCGAAGATGAGCTCGAAGCAGTGGATAGCCCAATACATGATACACCAGCAGTAGTGTACCGCAAAGTAACACCTCCTGTATCTCTCTATAATCTCCCTAATGGCACTGTTGCTCCGTCGAACTCAGCATCGCAAGCTCCCTATCGCGGTGCTCCAGTTAGCAGAACAGAAGGAAACACCAGAAAGACAATTGCACGCTTGTCATACTGGAAGGAGGATGGCATTAGGAGTTGCTGGACTGACCTGTGGCCGGAAATTTGTTCCATTGTCATTACTCCAGGCCGAATCGAAGCCTACGAAATCAGTGCTGCCCATTCCTCGCCAATCCGCACTGGAGAGTTGGCGTCCTCTGGTTCATCTGATCTCAACTCCGAGACCGATGCTGGCGCCGATCGCCCTCTCGTTGCTCTCGATCTTACGCCTCTCGTCACGCTACGGCAAAGCAATGCGGTCGACATTGAAGTCAAGTCCCCAACACTTTCACAGTCCCGATTGAAGTGCCGTGGCAATGTTCGATTCCGGACCCTTACAGCTCAAGACGGTGTGTTCCTCTATAGAGCAGTCCATTACGCACGAATGAACAACCCTGTCTTCATCAAGCTAGAAGAGGAACGCAGATACGCAAATTTTGGATCCAATGCCTATCAGCAAGCCATCGCAGCAAACACCAAACGCAGCTTCTTCGGCAGACAACGCAGTTACCGTGCTTCTGCCCGCGCCCCTCAATCCGATGTCGTGAGCGACCAAAGTGGCAAGAGTTCCGTCGCAACAGCACTCAAGCGTCTCAGCGGCGGAGGCCTCTTCAACATCGCCAGATCATCCATCGACAGAAGCGGCCCCATGAGCCATTCCACGAGTTCCAGCGACTACAGCGGCGCCACACCACCAGGAACACCAGGCAGTCCCAGCCAAGCAGGAAGCAGCGCCTATAGCCAAATGCAAGACCTAGGCTGGGAGGACATCCCAATAACCTTCAGCCGCCTAGTCACACACAGCAAATGGGACGTCCTCGGACCCGCCTTCCTGACCGTCTCCACGCCGCCTCCAACCATGCGTCCCGAATCCTCGCAGAACTACGGCATCCTCAAGCGCATCACCGTCACCCGCAAGAAGCTGCACATGGGCAGTCCGCAGGGTCCCAATCCCGAGGCATTAGTGATCTGCGACATCGCCGTTGGTGTCGGTTGCTTCAATCTTGTTGCGAGGAAGGGCGTCGTGATGCACGATTGGCGCGATATCAGGGGCAATGATGGCCAGGTTGGCGTTATTGGAGCGACCGGCGGCGTGTCTGCTACCATGGGCAAGTGGCTCTTGCAGACGGACAAGGGCATGGCGCGCGACTGGATCTGGAGTCTGACGGGCGGGTTGTATGATCGTAGTCGTGGGAGTATTCCTAGCGGGTACGGGATGTGAGGGAGATGGGGCACTAGAAGTAGATACTGGGAGTTGTGCGATGTTCCTACCTTTTCTTTGAGGATTATTTTCATGTTCCGGTATGTGTAGGATATGAAGCGGGTTGGAAGCGATTCTTTTTCTGCATACAGCGAGATGAGATGAGTGAGACGATGGTTATGACTTCTAGAGGCGGTGTATATTGGGGGTGGTGGGGGCGTTTCCGGTCGTAATTAATGGGTGAGGTAATTGTATAGATGAATACCATACAATACAATACAATTCCATTGCCCGAACCTTCCTTCTTAACTTTCTCCTTGGGAAATTTTGACATACAAATACAAATGGCGATGGTGCGCGGATGCCGGTCGAGCCCGGTATCGCGATTTGGACCTCTTCCCGGGAGATCCGTTCGCCACTTTACTTTCGCGGCGATTATTCGTTTTGATGTCGTGGACTTGAGGGATTTTATTGATTTCCTGTTGATCGCGGTAGTATATATGTAAACTACGAAGCTCTGGCATTTAAAAGGAATTGATGTAGCACGTGATGCAGTGTCATCTTCACTTTCCATCCTCATTCTGAACCTCCACCCATCCACCTCACCTCCTACACCTGCTGCACTTCCCTCGTCATCCTCTTATCTACAACCCCTTCTCCTTCCAATAATATCACCGTCATCTCCAAGCCTCACTTGTATTATTAGGGATTGATCTGGAATTAGAGAGGGCGACCCGCGATGCCAATCACCGAGACCCTCGAGCCCCGCGCGCCCGAGGAGCTGCAACTCAAGATCTTCGCGACCAAGACGTCGGAGGACTATATTATTATCCGGGAGGTGTGCGATCATGTAAGATATTTTGTCCCTTCTCCTTTTTTTTCCCTCATCTCTTTCCCATCTTCACTGTCACTTTCGCCAACGGTTCGCTCTCGCGGACCAGATGGCTCAGTGCCTTCGCCAATTGCTACGGCTCATAAGTTCGCGAACGCTCACACCCCAAAAGCTCGGCCGCGAAGGCTACGAATCCCGCGTAATCCAAACAAGCGCGAAGCCGCAGGACGTAAAATTCGGCTCCCAGAAAGCGCTCGTGTTCCTGATCATGGGCAGCTTTATGCTAGCGGATGGGAAGGTGATCGGCGAGGAGGGGGTTAAAATGGGGGATCTGATGGGGAAGGTTGGCGCTGGGAAGGGGTATGTGGTTGAGGAGGAGCTCGGGATGCGGGTTTTTGGGAGGAGTGCGGTTATGGTTAGTTATTTTTTTGACTGATAGGTTGGGGGATTGGATGTATTAGTTAGTGAGGAGTTAGGGTTTGAATTTATTACGCTTGAGATCTGGATGCAAAAAAGAGGCACTGATGCCCTATGCATAGAAATATGGGGATTTCAGTAGTGTTCCGTTGTTCGCTAAAGAATATGGAAGTGCCTTAAGTGCCCTAAGTGCCCTGTCGTTGCCCCTCACCACGTGTTGCAAAAAAAAAAAAAAAAGGTGCAAAAAGACCCAAAAAGATTGATTCATTTGTCCTCGGAGAGACTCGAACTCTCGACTGGGGAAAGTGTTAGAAATGTCATATTAATTTTTGCGGTTGAACATACCCTTTGGATGGCCAAACTGTGAACAGTTTAATCATATTTGAATATGAGACCAACGCTCTAACCAACTGAGCCACGAAGACGATGCGCAAAAAACCGCTTATTTGCACTTATAAAAAGAAAACCAAAAGTGGGATTTACGAGTTGTTTTCACTGGGTTATAAGCGAAACTAACTATAAGCGAGCCCCTTAGAACAGGGAAGTAGAGCGGTTATTGCCCCAGGTTCTCTCTCTTTAGCCTAGCTCCCGTCTATAGCATATAAGGCCTCTCTTTGTTAAGACCTTCTTTGTTCCTTAGATATTGTACTCATAATTGTCTTAGTAATCTCAAGGCCAATCCCACAAGCCGCAGTATTCCAAAACACGATATAAATTACTCATATTTTCATGCTTATTTTTCAGTTAATTAGATCGTGGGCGATCTTAAATCTCCAGCCAATGGACGAATAGGAGACTCGGTTCTGTTTGGAATTCGAATTTCAATTGACTGTTAAACTTGATGACTACCTGCCATCCAGTAGCAAGCGTGTGAGATAACCAACAAACAAGGTACAATTCGACTGTATTCCTGGAGATCTCTGCCCAGGAATATCAAGCAGTTATAACCAGCTCCAATATTCCTTATATGATTCAAAATAATACTCTTCCTGACCTTTCTACCAATTGCATAGAGCTGACCTGGGAGAGTTGTGAAGCAATTTACTCGGGGTTTTAGTATGAACATATGAACATGGCGATGTAATTTTCACAGCTTCTGAGTGGTTTAATGAAAATGCCACAGTGTTAGCAAATGGAGCTCTCAAATCTGGGATCAAACCTTCCTCTCTTTGCGAAATATGAGTCTATTATTCTAGAGCCTCTCTGAGAGACCGCTCCCTTATGGAAACTTAATAATTACAGAAAGGAAATACAACGTGACATTCTGCTGCGCCAAAACCACAATATACAGCCCTTGCAAGCTAGTTTTCAATGCTCAAGTCATTATCATTGTGATAATGAGCTATGTGATAAAGGCTGTTTGTGTGTTCCTCGTGGTATTTAAGCTAAAGACTATCCTCTTGTCACATTGGGTGATGCTATCACACCTTTCCTTGAACATCCAGATCCAACTATGAAAAACATGTGTCTTCTCTCTAAGCGGGAGGTTCTAGCCAAAGCATTTGAGGAATCTCGTTTGCCAAAAAGGTGGAAAGAGGGAAGCGAGTATGGCAGGAAAACAATTCTACGCTATATCTGCCAGGCTATGGGCTCTAGTCAACACTTTGTAAGAAAACAAGCGTCTCGATCTGCCGTGCTAACACAAGCTAGCTTGGTCATCTGTCTTTTCTGTCTACTCGCAGATCTCGGTTCAGCAGCCGATCGCAACCTAGGAGGAACACCTTTCTCAAATGACCTTGGGTTTGAGCGCACTCTGCGACCCGCCTATCCAGATATCCTTACAACGAATATTGCTAGATGGGGAAAGGCAAACACACTTGTTCTAGTCACAACCCACAAGTTCTGATCTCGCCTATGAGCGTCCTCCATAGTTGTTGCCTTACATCCACGATTCTAGTCGGAAAGTGGACTATATAAACTTCATCCCAATAAATAACACTGCATATATGCCGACTCTGTGACAAATATTCACTGAGCACCTTTTTCTGAAATTCTCGAAAGTCGACACGTCTTCTAGAATGCGATAGCGCTAGCCAGCTCATCCTGACCAAGACCTCATTGCCGATGACATTCCCAAATATGCTATACTTTCGTACATATAAGGAGCAGAGGATGTCATCTTTAGAGACTTGACAGATCTTACGGGTAAGAACAAGGCTGTCTACGACAAGATCGCGTTCTGTGCGTAGCGGACTGTCAACGTTGGCCTACAATTCTTTTAGGTAGACACTTGCTGTATCGACAAGTCAAGTAGCGCTGAGCTCAGGAGGCTATCAACTCAGTTTTTCGCTGATACCAGAACGCGGCCAAATGCCACATCTATCTATTATGGGAAGACAATATTATGATCTGCAAAGGTTAGAAAAGTTCCTGGCTCTCACTGCCCTTTGGCTTCATCTTCCCTCTTGAAGGTCGCACAGCTCTAGCTCGTGCAGACCTCATTCACGGCCATTTTTACCACTGGTGATTGACTCCCAATTGGTGATCAAAAACCAGGCAATAAACACAAAAGCAGTGGATGGAAGTGTGAAAGCCCAATATATCCAAAATTTATCTTGAACAACCCCTGGCTTGTCCCATTGCAACGACGGGACCGCGAAAAGAGCTGCAAAGAACGTCGCTGGTAAGAATGCCATTGTCATGATAGCGACGGTCTTCATTGCAGAGCTGTCTTTCTTCATAGATTGAGCGAGCTGCTTGCTTGCATCTGCTAGTTTGATGTTTGCAATTGCGTCTTCATGGGTTAACAAGCCGAAGAGCTGAAGCCTGTCAGATTGAAGGGAAGGCTTGAAAGAGGAAGCAGGAACGTACTACTGAAGACTGATTTCTGGCTCGTTCTTGAAGATACCTGATATATGATTTCGCAGACTTAATTTGGCCCTGCAGTGTCGGCACGAGTAATTGGAGAGCCTTTGCGCTTGCATCGTAATTGCGGCGATCAAAATCTTGAGCTAAGTGACTGCTATCAATTTTCTCGAGCAAAAATGCTAGGAGCGAACTTGCAATTTCCACATGGCGAGAATTATTGGCGAGATCGACAAGACAGCCCCCAACCATTCCGGAAGATCTGGTTATCTGTGTAATATCATCGGATTTTCTTGTCAGCTCGTCTCTGACAACAAGGCCGTGCACTCTGGGCAATTCTGATCTCCAAGTACCATGACCTGTGCCAGCTTCAATACTTCGAATAAGTCTGAGCTCCAATAAGATATACTCGTCAACGAACTGAATTATGTGAGCACCAGCAACAAATGCCAGCAGACCAGGTGTATAGACGTAATACTTGTAAAACCGGAGGATGTTTTGAAATTGGCGGAACGTTTCTTTGTCATTATGCAAGCCGCTGCTCCTTCTAGTAAGCAACATAGCCCTTGTTTTCAAGCTCCTCGGGTTGAAAGACCAGATTAAAACGTAGAGGACGGTTCCGAGGAAGAATGAAGATAGTGAGTCGTTACTAGAAGATTTAGTAGCTTCAAAGCGATGAAAGCCGTAAGAGTTGCGACTAATCAGATAAAGTATATATGCTTCGATCTCAAATAGTTGAAAGATTTCCATGAAAAGGTCTCGGGAGATATTGAGAATTTCGTTATCTTCTCGCAGGATTCGGACGACCTTCAGCGTAGCCTCCCCATCCAATGCAGCAACCAAATTTCTGTTGTGAATTTCAACTACCCCATATGACATGTCTTCCGAGGGAGAGGCAGAAATATTGATCAAGTCGATTGGAGAGCTAACTTGACGGAATTGCTGCTCCTTCTCGAACATTTCCTTCGCGAGTTCCTGGAGCCCTTCCATCTTAGTGGGGTTTGCTAGTAGATATATGGGTGGATGCGCGGTAGGCAGACGCGAGAGAAGATGCCTATGGGAAGTATAGATATTGGCAGATATTATGGGGAGATTCTGTAGAAGCCGTTGGTGTGGTGAAGATGTTGGCAGAGATTGGGGAGAAGCTAGGGGAGGTATAGATATTGGCGAGGGCGGTAAATTCTTGGCGATTCTTTGTAGGATGTGCGGATACGGGTGTAGGTATTAGCAGAGGTGGGTAAAAATTGGGGAGACGCTAGTAGAGATATAGATATTAGGGCGGATCGACGAAATGAAAGGGAAGGTGTAGAGGTTGGCGGAGGTAATGTACTTGCTAGTGATTGTGACGGGCGGAGATTCAGATTGATTTGTAGTGCTGTTGTAGATATTGGTAGAGGTGGGTTTGTGCGCAGATGCTGAGGAGACGCTGGTGGGCCCGTACAGTAATATTGGCGGAAATTGGGGAGACGGGCTGGGGAAAGTGTAGATGTTGGCAGAGGATGGTGATGGTTCGAGCGTCAACTTCAACATGCCAGACGTTGAAATTATTGCCTGAGGCGATAACATTGTGCATCCACAGTTCAGGGCCGGTGGCGCAGCAGCTCTTCGAAGACGCAACTAGAGCCGAGAACATTTCTGTGACGATCCTGTATCTTCACCTGACTTTCACCTAACCAGCCCCTGCGCTTTCCTGAGCTAGGCTCAGGAAGAGCCCCACGCAACGGGCCCCCTATATATATATATGCGATCCGGAGCCCTCTCCTCTCTCTATTCTCTTTTTCTCTTCTTCAGCTTTAGATCCTCGTATATAGGTAGAATCTAGGAGATTATAGATAGTACGTTGGCGCTGACTTATCTATGCCTTATGTCTCTCTCTTACGTGCCGTCACAATTCCTAACGTTCGCGTACCATAAGACTCTCTCTCCCAATAGAAACATGTCACCTTTCTCTATTTATAGTATTTAAAAATCAAAAAACATATGTAAAGTATATTAACCACTTATATTCAAGATTGAATCGCTTAGAATAGGAGCAATATGATTTTATGTTGAGATTTTCGTGGTTTAGATGAAGTGCTAGCCGGCCTACGGGATTCTCGCTCGCAAGGGATGTCGGTTCTCTTTTGATGTTATCCCCCTTCAGTTGACGTCATTTATCTCTGGCGTGCGGTGCGTTCTAATTGGTCTAGAGGAGGTGATCGGGGCTAGGGACTTGGTTTTTTTCTTCTGTTCTGGCCTGGATAGGCATTTAATTTGGGATTTGGCTGCTTGGGTAATTGGCTGTTTTGGTCACTTTTCACGTGCTCCTTATTCCTTCCGCATGGTAGTATCTTCAGTGATAATCAAATATACGGTATTAGGCCTCATACCCACTGAATCAGATAGTATTTTACGGAGTGAGGAATATTGACGACAATACTAGCCACCATAATACTATAGTATACTATCTCGAACACTGAAGCCAATAATACCTTACAATACCCTATCGCTACGCCATACCACTGCTTCTCATAACGGGAATTTTGTACTGGCTCGTCTCGGAAAGCTTTTTCCTAGCCAGCCTTAGAGCTTTTAAAGGCACGGAGATCTAACCTCAAGACTCAGTGTTTGGTATTTGGTA